TCTAAGAAGATCATGGCCATTGGCCATGGGGGCATCTTTGGATGTGATGGAGAGTGGTTGTGAAAGTAACAAGTTAACAAAAGAAATGAAAGGACAGAAAGCTGAAAAGCCCCACTTAAGAAATCAGAGCTCGCAAAAAGAAGACTTAGAATCCAATGAATGAGCAACCCATCAAATAAGACATCAACAATCCTTGATTGGATCAGGCAGCGAGAGGAGCAACTGACCTTCCAGTTCTAGTATGCACCTCTACTTTTTGGAGTCAGGATAGCTTATTTCTCTATATAAACACACAGGTGCTACTAATGGTGTCTGTATGGGATTTTAGTTATTCAATGTATGACTTAACTTTCTTCTAAATGCAATCATTAATATTCTATAGTAAATTATCATGAAGGAATGTACCTTGAGATGCCATGGAATTTCTTTTAAATACACACCTGAGTGACATTAGGAGACTGGAGTTGTATTATGGGGGTAGCCACTCCCTGCTTCTCAATAGCCTTTTAAGAGGCCTTATTTATAGATAAAATCTAACTGGTTAAGCTATGAGCAGAACTGCGGCTGTAAAACAATTCTGTCAACGTCATCTTGATGAGACCAAATACCATCAAATTAACAAAATAAATTATTTACTAGTAGTTGATGAGCAAAATTTACAGTAACCTGCTGCTAGTAAACTGCAAAAATTTTCCTAGTCCTCCAAAGTCATGGATGTCAGTGGGATACAACAAAATTCCTATCAGCAGTATAGCGAAATTGAATAATCTTCTCAAAGCAGACTTACTACTTCAGAGGAAGAAAGAATAGAAAAACTGGCAAACCAACCTGGCAACATATATCCATCCCATAAAGTAAAAGGAAGTGGAGGCTGGGATGGAAGACATCCTGACATGCTAATAATTTATTGCAAATTGTACAACTATAAGATTTGAAATAGCTTCTGTGATTTTCTTGACAAGACAATAGCCTAACCAGTACATAATACTTGTAAGAATCTTAAAGTCTGCAATTTTATCTGCTTACTTGTAACCTCAGGCAGCTATTGAGGAGTTCATCTCGGTCAGAATGTGATAGTATGCATAGTGATCGGAAGTGTTTTGAAAACCAGGGGTAAAATCTGAAAAGAATCTCAAAATTGCAGCCAGAAGTTGTGGGTCATTGGATGCAACTGCTGCTTCAAGAAACAATGAAGGCCTGATCGTAGTGACCTGAAATTATATTCATTCTTGTAAAACAAAACAAAAAAAACAAATTTACCTACAATATGGCTTTCTTTCAGAGGCATTTCAGAAAGTTAAGAATTAGCTACATGGAGAATTTTATTCTTCTACCAGACAGACATGATAATCTGATAACTCCAACAATCCAACTGAAGAAATAAAAACAGTTCACATTTGGAAGAACACAAAAGAGCAACCAATACAGACATTTTCCTTTTACCTTTTCTGTTAGCGAGAAAATATTCTTTAATTTGCTTGACAAAGAATATTTTCATAAAAAGACTGGTGGATTTGTCCTTGCAACAAATCAGTTTTGTTGAGAATACAATTTTTTTCTCTGGTATTCCAGAGAAGGGAAGTTTTCAGAATACTCTCTCATCAATTACAATTTCGTAATTGTCAAAACAAGCGCCATTAGGCTCACAGAAGTTTGATGGAGCAGCTGCCCAAATCAACAACTACTTTACAGCTCTGATTTTCTTCTATAGAACAATAAATAAATTCTGGATGAACAATGCATTATTTTTTCCCTAAACAATTCAGGAGATTCTTAGTTACTTGTTTCTGGAA